CATGTTCAGACTGACTATCCAGGAGTTTCGGTGCTCCTGTTTAAGTACCTCTGCATAACTCAGTAGTGGTCCTGAAGAGTGAAAGTTGGGATGCTTGGCATCCAGATGCACCAAGAGAAACAGGTGTTTTTCTTCTGTGAAAAGTGACAGCTCTCCATAAAACAGGAAGATTGTCACGTTTGAGAGAGAACACAATTCATGTATTTTTCATTGTAGTGTACTACTATAATTATTTACTATGCCTAATCTATAAATTGAGCTTTATCATAGTGTGTTTGTAAGGGATTTGCCATTGTCCTTGAGTTTCAGGAACCACTGGGTTTCCTGGAATGTGCACACCAGAGATTACCAGGGAATTAAAATCCTGCTTTAAATTCCCAATAAGAAAAATGGTCCTTGGTGATGGTACCCTGTCATAATGATGTTGGGGGCTTTAATTTACATTTAACAAAAATGAAGATTTTTAGATGTACTATTTTAAAATATTAGTATATTAATCATTAGAGCCCAATTTACTTTAACATATGTCTTTTAAATGGACTTTTCTATTTAAATGATTTGAAGAGGTATATTAAAGGAAGCAGTAATGGAGTCTAATGAAAAGAAAACAATTTTGGAGTTTGACAGATCTGCTTCTGAGTGGTTTGAATGTGATCCTCCAAAGGAGACCTGAAATCTTAACTTTATTTGGAAAGAGTCTTCGCTGGTGGAATCAAGTTCGGATGAGGTCACTCATGTGGGGCTCCCATCCAGTGTGATTGGCTTGCCTCTAGCAGACACACATCAGAATTGATGTGAAAACAAGGACAGAGAAAACTTCATGTAACAACAGAGACAGAGATGGAGTGATGCAGCTGCCAGCTAAAGAAGTGCAGGGGTTGCTGGCCATGGCCAGAAACTGGGAAGGAGCTGCAGGGAATGTGCTAGCAGGAAATGTGGCCCTGCTAACACCCAAACAGGGCTTACACCTTCAGAACTATGAAACACACGTGTTACATTTCTCTTGTTCCCAGACATCCAATTTGTGGAAATTTGCTTCAGTAGTCCCATAAAACAAAGTGTTTCCACTTACTGGCTGTTTGGACTTGGCAGTCACATTGAATCTCTGAATCTCACTTTGTTTTTATAGGACCAAGAATAGTGTTTTCTCTTTCATGGAGAACATTTAGCACTTTGCTACTTGAACCACAGCTCCACTTCCAGCCTTTTTTAGTAGTTAATTGGATATAAGTCTCTCAGACTTTTTCTCCCCGGGCTACATTCAACTGCAGTCCTCACATCTCAGCCTCCTGAGTAGCTAGGATTATAGGTGTGAGCCACTGCTGCCTGGCAATTTTTTTTCTCTTTCTCTGATCACTATAGTTAGTGCTTTTTAGGACAGTTTGGTTTCCCTGGTGCTGTCCTGTTTTTCTGTATTGAGAGAAAGGATTCCCCCCACAGTGGTGTTTGTCTAAATAATAATAATAATAATAAAAGGCATTTTAAATATGTCAGTACTTTCTGTGCTCCTTTTACTTCTCTGTAAATCCATAGCCATCTTCTTTCCTACCAGGTCCTTATTGTGCAGATTTCTTAGTCTCTAGTGATGGGAACCTTTGTGGAAGTTTAGCCTTGGACCCTCATATTTGAGTTTTGTGTAGCAGACTGTAACTTATACTACTTCTCTGAGTCAAGAACAGGACATTTACTCCACTTGAGGACAATTACTCTTTTACTTGAGATTACTTAGTAACAGAGCAGAGAAATTTGCTCCTGTGGTGTCACACTAGTGACATTAGAATACAAGTTTATTTTCTTGAGGACACCTGGAGAAAGATCTTGCTCTTCCTAGCCCCCGGCTGATGTCTGTCATACATTGCTGTTTTCATGAGCTTTCTGATGCTGCTGGTGTTTCTGTTCCCCTGAGTAACAATATCCATTCCCAGAGTCTGCCTTTACTAACAATTCCAGATGCTTCTATGCTGCATTACTAGCATAGGCCTGCAGTGGCCCTGTGCTCTTCATCAATCCCCTGTGCCACATTGTCTAGTTTATAGTGGCATAAATCACATTTTTTTTTTTAGTAGTACTAGGATTTGAAGTCAAGGGCACATGCCTGGCAGGCCGGTGCTTTGCCACTTGAAGTTGCTTTGCCTCCAGCCTACTCATATCATTTTCTGTAAGTCAACTGTACTTGAAATCTTGAACTCATGTGTCTTTTGCGTGCATCAGTGTGCTGTGCTTTCAGCCAAGGATGAGTACTGTACTGTGTTCCTGTAGGTAAGATCTATTCTGTAGCTGACCTGGAGAAATTTGCTGACTATGAGGCGAGGCTATTTATATGGTATTTGATAAAACAATTTCTTAAAAATCAAAACTCATTTTTATTTTCGTTTTATCAAAATACTCTTTTTGGCTGGGAATATGCTTGCCTAGCACACATGAAGCACTGAGTGGTCTGATTCCTCAGTACCACATAAACAGAAAAGGCAGGAAGTGGCACTGTGGCTCAAGTAGAGTGCTAGCCTTGAGCAAAAGAAGCTTAGGGAAGCTGGGTGTTGGTGGCTCATGCCTGTAATCCTAGCTATTCAGGAGGCTGAGATCCGAGAATCACAGTTCAAAGCCAACCTAGGCAGGAGAAAGTCCGTGAGACTTATCTCTAGTTAACCACCAGAAAACCAGAAGTGATGCTGTGGCTCAAGTGGTAGAGCACTAGCCTTGAGCTGAGGGACAATGCCCAGGCCCACAGTTCAAGCCCCACAACTGACCAAAAAAAAAAAAAAAAAAGCTCAGGGATGGTGTCCAGGACTGGAAAAAATAATTTAAAAAAAACCCACAAAAATTCATTCCATTTAAAAGACTATCGGAAGCTGAACTCTGGGCGGTCATGTGTTATACTAGATTGTCATGCCTGGAATACATAGGCACCCATGAAATATTAGGTGAATGAATGATTCCCTCATTAGAGAGTGTTTGGAAGGCCCATTTCCTGACTCTTGCCATTTGAGAGGGTTCCAAGCCTCCACTATGGGAATAGGCCCAGCTGGCAAATATTTGAATTCATCACCTCTCTTAAAAACACTTTCCAGTTCTTTATTCCCTTCTGAAGGAACATTTTAAAAGCACTCAAGGTTACTTAGTTTTCAGAGAAGTTGTTGTTAACAGCAGTATGTACTGCTGTCTAGGTTAGAAAAAGAATTTATTAGAGGGGCATTGGGTAGCTTTTCCACAAAGTCAAAATGGATGGGGAATATAGAGATTGAGATAGGAGGCAGGTGGAAATGGAAGAGCTTTTAAAAATGTAGTCTGGCCCAATGGCCATGGCTGCTGTTGAGTTCTCCCCTCTTCTTTCTCTGCTTCGTTGGCTGCTAGTCTATAATCACCTCCACTCCTGTGTCTGTCTCTCATGATTCAGATACTTATGTCCAGACTGTACTGAGCTTAGATCCTGTGCCTTGGTACTGCCTACTATAAGCTTAGGATGGACAAGGAGCCATTTCTCCCCTTTGTCTCTTAAGGTGTGTCTCACAGATTCTCACGAGGAAGAATTCCACAATTTGTAGAAGGGTGTAACAATAACAGAGACCATAGTTATTTGCCTAAAGTTCCTCTTCACTTTTATAACCTGTGGGTCCCAAGTTTGTATACCAGGAAGGGCACATCCATGTGTGAAAAGACAGAGCATGGTTGAGACTTCAGGATGGGAGACAGGGCTAGATCCATACTCTTGCTTAGAATCAGCAGCCAGTAATCAAGGAAAGTTCACTGAATCTTCCAAAAGAACAATTTCCTAGGAATTTATTTGTATTGAGAAAAAAAGGATTTTAGTTTAGCAGACCTGTCCATCTGGTATGGTAAAAGTTTTGATACTAATCACCCTGCCATCAGGTGTCACAAGTTTTTATTTATTTATTTTTTATGCGAGTTCTGGGGCTTGAACTCAGGGTCTGGGCACTATTTCTGAGGCTCTATTGAGCTATAGCTCCACTTCTGGCTTTTTGCTGATGAACTGGAGATGAGTCTCACAGACTTTCCTGCCTGGACTGGCTTAAACCACAATCCTCAGCTCTCAGCCTCCTGAGTAGCTAGGTTTACAGGTGTGAGCCACAACTTTTAATGTGTGGACTGAAAGATTGTCCCCCACAAATCAAGTCCCTAGGCTAGCCACTCATGCTTGTCAGCTGGCTACATACTCAAGCCTTATGAGATGACTGACCATCCCTCCTCCCCTTAGTCTTGCCCCCTCCTCAGTCACCACCCTCATTTGGTGGTAAGATCTGAAAGAGTTGGGGATGGAGCTTCCATGCCCTCTCTGTGTGCTTGGGGCACACAGTCCTCTCAGTATCTCAGTTGGGTATACCAACCAGAACACGCCCTACACCTGTGTCCAGTCTGAAGTGGGGGCTTCATGATTACACATGATTGATTGAACACTGATCATGCCACAGTTGAACTATAAATTCTCAGACCGGCGCTCTCTTCCCTAGAGGTTGGGCTGGGCCAAAGTTCTGGTGACTCACGCCTCATCTTGCTGGCATAAATTCTGGTATGAATCAAGGGGCTTATGTGTAACAAAGGTTCTCCAGTTACCTGGGAAATGCTAGTGGCAAGCTTCCTGCTAGGAACTAAGGACAAAGAGTATATATAAAGATATATTAGTGGTTTAGTAGTTTATAGCCTCATATGTCAAGCGTTTTGAATGTTACATGTTTATGACTATAAGCATAAATGTATTTGTTTTGGTAAAAAGGACAGAGAGAGAGAGGGAGAAAGGGAGAGAGGAAAAGAGAGAGACAGATAACTTTGATTGGAAAGACCAGCCAAGAAAAGAACAATAAGGCTTATTTTAGTATTTAATTCCTCATCTGTTGAAACCAATAGATGACCTTAACAGCAGTTTATGCCTGGCTCTAGGTTGCTTTATTGGACTGTTTTTTTTCCCTTGAATAGCAGGTTATTTTAGAGTGTCTTAGGCATCCTCTTTCTACAAGGAAGTGCTTACTTACCTTTTTCTCTTACAGATTGATTATACCGGAACAGAGCCTTCCAGTCCCTGCCATAAATGTTTGTCTCCAGAAGTGACACCTTGCATTTGTACCATCAACTTCACACTGGAAAAGTCATTTGAGGTTTGTGTTAGAAAAGCCAGGCTTTAAAACATTACCATATTGTTCTTTTAAAACTAAGGGTTTTTGTTGTAGCTGTTGTTTGTTTTTTTAGAAAACTCAATTTAATTGATTGGAATCCATATAATATACTCTTTTGGGCAAGACTGTTTTATGTACTTGGCTGTTGCATTTTGCTAATAATTAAATTTATTTGACTGGCTTGTTTATTTTGTAGACAAAATTTAATATAGTTTTATCTTTTTTACTGGAAAATTTACAGCTATATATTGTATAGCTATAATTTACAGCTATAAATTGTAATGTTTATTTATTTATTTTTTTGTTGGTTGTGGGGCTTGAACTCTGGGACTGGATGCTGTCCCTCAGCTCTTCAGCTCAAAGCTAGTGCTCTACCACTTGAGCCACAGTGCCACTTCTAGTTTTCTGGTAGTTAATTGGAGATAAAAGAGTCTCACGGATGTTCCTGCCTGGGCTGACTTTGAACTGTGATCCTCAGGTCTCAGCCTCCTGAGTAGCTAGGATAACGGGCATGAGCCACCAGCACCTGGTTATAATGTTTATATCTTTGTCTACTTTTATTTAAAAATTCTCAAATTGTTTTGCATACTTTCAATTATAAAATGTTTGCTTTAGCAAAGTACTGATATTCTCATTATTTACTTGAATTACTTTTTGTGAGATATGAAACATTACCCAAAATGCAAAAACTTAGAAAAGGTTAAAGACCTTTTGCATTTTGGTAATTGGATCCTCCCCCACTTCTCCACCCATGTTTGTATATTGATATTTTGTATTTTGGGAATACACCCCAAATCACACACCCTCCTCATGTCTTATCTGTCTGCTGGTGTCTTTTTTTTTGTATATGTGTTTATTAATGATGCTCTGCTATTCTTAATGATAGAGTATATAGTAAAGGTCAGAATAGGCATGGAAAGACTAGTTTTTTACTGCTATTTGCAATTAACCTTGAAAAATTATTGTTCAGTGAGAAAAACGGATGGAATGCATGCTAATTTTTTAGATTTTTCTGCATTTTGCTTTGTGATGGTAGAACTTGAGTATTTTGATACTATAATAGATGGTTGCACACTTTGGTTTCTCTTCAGATCGTATAAATCTTTCGCCTTTTACTATAATAGATGGTTGCCATCTGGTGGTTATAGCTGCTTTTACATCAAGATTAATGCACAATGCTGCCTTTGCCCAAACCGTTGGAAGCTCATTTGAGAAGTGAAGAGTTTAATACTTTAACTGTTTCAACAGAAATAATGCAATCACATGTCTTTTGAATGTGATAAACTGCAAAGATGTAGTAAATTTTGCTTTTGTTATTGTAGGCAGAACTGAAACAATAAGAGACTTGGGGTGGTTTAGAAACTTAGTCTCCTTCCCACTCAAAAGCATTTATTCAGAACTTCTGCAAGAATGATCAACCTCAGATTCATTCTTCTGTAGGTTCTTCAAAACTTTGAAATAAAGCCTTTTCAGGGAACTTAAATTATTTGGTTGCATATTCATTGAAAGGACCTTTCTCAGTTTACAAATTGAATTTACTTTACTTAATAGAGATGATTTTTATTTCAGAAAGTATGTTTACCTTGTTTCTGTGTTGTAATTTTGATATCCTGCCTCCTAAGAAAGTTTTCTTTTTTTTAATTTTAATTTTTATTTTTTGTGAACATACTGTACAGAGGGGTTACAATTACATGGGCAAGATAATGAGTACATTTCTTATCAAGCATTGCAGCCTCCTCCTTTGTTTACCCTCCACATCCCTTCCCAGCCTCCCCCCAACCCCAAGAAAGTTTTCTGTAAACAGTTTCTTTCTATAGAATGAGAAAGTTTACAGGGTTTGATTCTATTTTTTTATTTGTATTTTGGTAAGTAGTTAATTCTTCCCCACCTCGTGCTTATCTCTTTCTCTCTAGCTTTAGCTGGGCATAGTAGTACATGCCCATAATATAGCACTCTGGAAACTGAAGCAGGAGAATCAAGAATTTGAGGCCAGTTTGGGCTACATAGTGAGACTCTTCCTGAAGAATAAAATAAAATTAAGCTTTGTATGAAAGTAGCAAATCCAAAAAGCACTTACAAAATGTTACTGAATTTCTTTTAATTGAACATAGAATATGTATAGAAAATAGAAGCTAAAATTAGAAGAAAGTAATACTTTCAGTATCTCTAAAAATTTTAGCTGTTAAAATGGCTTCTTACTTATTCTATAGATTTACAGTATGTATGTAGTGCCTTTGTTTCTCAAGTTATTTTGAAGTTGGTTGCACAAAATACATTAAAGTACTTTTCTTGGTTATTATAAAGTGACTCTCTTTAAGATTTTGTAGTAATTATAGATATATTGCTAATAATGTATAGTAAAACCCCATTGGGGAATTTGATGTTATAATTCAGCTTGGAATTTACTTAGACAATAAGTGAAAGGTTTGGCCATTTGCCTTCTCAAACATTGTTGCTAATTGGGCAAAGACCAATCTGGATTTGAGAATATTTTAAAGTGTCTCAGAGTGGGCTACTAGATTTCATTTAGAGGTTTTTTGGTTTGTTTTTAAATGCTGGTCCTGAGGCTTGAACTCAGGGCCTGGGTGCTGTCCCTGACCCTCTTAGTGCTCAAGGCTACCACTCTACCACTTGAGCCACAGTGTCACTTTTGGCTTTTCTGAGTAGCTTATTGGAAATAAGAGTCTCAGAGACTTGGCATCCCCAACTGGCTTTGAAACATGATTCTCAGAACTCAGCCTCCTGAGTAGCTAGTATTACATGTGTAAGCCATCAGTGACCAGTGAGCATTAATTTTTAATGTATACATTGTACTCCATTGAATTCTTTGAGGAGAATTTGAAAGCTTACTCTTGTGTTTTTTGGAATATGCCTTCTTAATCTTTTCTTACAAGTGTTTTTCTTCTTCTTCTCCTTCTTCTTCCTTCTCCTTCTCCTCCTCCTCCTCCTCCTCCTCCTCCTCTTGTCCTTCCTTCTCCTCCTCCTCCTCTTCTTTCTTCTTTCTTCTTCCTGTAGGGGTTGAGCTATACACCCCTAGTCTGGGCAACTGTGCCATTTTAGGTTGCTGAGTACACATAGAATTTATTCTAGTACTTATCATAGATTGTATGCTAGTATAGACTAGACTGATTACCTTTCTGTACATAGTAAAAAAAAAAGCTAATTCATGGTTATTTTCATATGCAAATCACTTCCCTTTCATTTTCTCTAGGGCAATGTGTTTATGTATTATGGACTGTCTAGCTTCTATCAAAATCATCGTCGTTATGTGAAATCTCGAGATGACAGTCAACTCAATGGAGATCCTAGTGCATTGCTTGTAAGTAAAATGAAGAGATATAAAAGTGTGGTATCTAAAATAAGAATGAAGTAACCAGTTAATAATGTTAACATGGTTCATGTTAAAGGGTCACTTGTTATTTCTGGTTTGTGTTTTTTAGTTAAAATATACTTTTTTTCTGAACTTTGCACAGATAGAGGACATATCACTACCTGCTAGTTCATCGTCATTACTGATTTTTTTTTTTTTTTTTTTTGTCGGTCGTGGGGCTTGAACTCTGGGCCTGGGCGCTGTCCCTCAGCTCTTCAGCTCAAGGCGAGCGCTCTACCACTTGAGCTACAGCGCCACTTCCGGTTTTCTGGTGGTTTATTGGAGATAGGAGTCTCATGGTCTCTCCTGCCCGGGCTGGCTTTGAACCGTGATCCTCAGATCTCAGCCTCCTGAGTAGCTAGGATTACAGGCGTGAGCCACCAGCGCCCGGCATTACTGATATTTTTAACTGCATCAATCTGGTTGTGATGAAATTTTGATCAGTCTAACAATGTAGATGTACAGATGTATTTTGTTTAGATTTGTTCTTACTATACTAGGTAGATATATGTAAATGAGTGTTTTTTTTTTTTTTGGCTGGGGGTGGGGGGGGAGTTTGTAGTACTAGGGTTTTGAACCTAGGGCCTCACACCTCTCATAGCTAGGAAAATAGTGTTCTACCACCTCAGTCATACCTCCAGCTCCTGATTTGCTTTTGTTTAGGGTCTACTTCTTTTGCCCTGTTCCAGCCATGGACCACAATCTTAATATCTTGCCTCCTGAGTATCTGGAATTATAGGTGTGCACCACACCTGGATATGGATTAGCAGCCTTTATTTCTCAGAATGTGTTTTAAAATGGAGTATGGTGCTAGGTGCCAGCAGCTCAAACCTATAATTCTAACTACTCAGGAGGCTGAGACCTGAAGATCATGATTCAAAGCTAGCCCAGGCAGGAACCTCTATAAGATGTTTATTTCTAATTAACCCCCCAAAAGCTAGAAGTGGATCTGTGGCTAAAGTGATAGAGCACTAGCCTTGAGCACAAAAGCTCAGAAACAGCACCTAGGCTCTGAGTTCAAGCCCTAGGACTGGCACAAAAAAACTCAAAAAGCAACAACTGTCTGGACTGTTGAGATGTATAGATTGTAGAATTCTCCCAAGTTTATGTGTCAGCATCTGCAAGAGTGGAGCTTTAGATTTCTTTTTGTTGTTGTTGTTTTTTGGGGGGTCTGGTCGTGGGGCCTGAACTCTGGGCTTGGGTGCTGTTCCTCAGCTCTTCAGCTCAAGGCTAGTGCTCTACCACTTGAGCCATGGCGCCACTTCCCGCTTTTTTCTTTTTGTTTGTGTGGTGCTGAGCGATCAAACCCAGGGCCTCATGCAAGCAAGGCAAGTGCTCTACCACTGAGCCACCTTCCCAGCCCCGGAGCTTTAGATTTTTAAAAAGTCTCTTTGACCAGTAGCTGGTGGCTCATGTCTATAATCCTAGCTACTCAGGAGGCTGAGATCTGAGGATCATAGTTTGAAGCCAGCCCAGGCAGGAAACTCCATGAGAATCTTATCTCCAGTTACCCCAGAAAACCAGAAGTGGCACTGTGACTCAAGTGGTAGAGCACTTGCCTTGAGCGGAATTGCTGAGGGATAGTGCCCAGGCCCAGAGTTCAAGCCCTCCAACTGACCAAAAAAAAAGTCTCTTTTGTGCCTTACCTTAGATTTTTTTTTTAGATTCTTGACTGTAACTTTTCATAGTAATAATAAATGCCTAAGTATTTTATATTATTGTTGCCATTGCAGCAAACATTCAGAAGCCCAGAGCAGTTTAGAGTCCCTTAGAGTTGGTGAACTTGCTGTGCCAGAATGAGCCTTAGGTTATCCAAACTGTTTTCATTGTTTCTAAAGAAGCTAAGGAATATAAATAATGTTTAGAGACTTTCTGATATGCACAGAGTTTAGATAAAATCTACAGTATTTTTCATTCATAGAGGATTTACTCCATAGAATCCTGTTTTTGTATTCAGAGGAGATGAGATGATTAATTATTGTGAGACACACTGAGACCCCCTAGACCTATTTGGATATTTTTATTGGGATTGTAGATTGGGTTTGTCCAAAGACCTAGAAATGTTGGTTGATTTGAAATTTACTTATTTATAATTTTTTTCCCCGTTTTTTTTTTCTCCTTTATTTAGATACTTGCTTTCTTTACTGAGGGCAAAGGAAGACTTATTGTAACAAGGCCATAGTGGTGGGCTGGGAATGTAGCTCAGTGGAGTGCTTGCCTAGCATGCATGAAGCCCAGGGTTCAATTCCTCAGTACTACATATACAGAAAAAGCCAGAAGTGGCGCTGTGGCTCAAGTGGTAGAGTGCTAGCCTTGAGCAAAAGAAGCTCAGAGTAGGCCCTGAGTTCAAGCTCCAGGACTGGGAAAAAAAAAAAAGGCCATAGTGGTCTCTAAAATATATAACTATCACATCCCTATTGTAAATCTTCTCATAGCATATTAGCATGTAGACTAAAAATCCCAGGATGTTCTGACCCAGGCATAAGCTTCCAGTTGTATCATGTTCCCGCTTGTCAAACTCTAGTAGCATTCACCAAGATTTCCTCAGAAATGTCAGGTTCTTTCTTCCAGGCATGTGCTAGTCCCTGTGCCTGCTGGTCACGTGGCTGGTGCTTACTCTTGTTTTATGATGCCTTTTTTCCAGAGACAAACTTTTTGTAGCAGTTTCTCCTGCTCTCATTATAAATCACTCCCATAGCATTCATGACATGTAGTCTAATTTGTGCACACATAATTCTTTATTATATGTTTTCCTAACTTCACTGTAAGCTAATAAACTAAAGGAGGATGACTTTCATCATTTTACTAAATACCTGGGGGTAGTGCTTGGCACATAAAAGGTACCTAATATTTTTTAGATGAATATAGACTTTTAAAAAAAGTTTTTATTGTTACTATAAAGGGGTTACAGTTGCCAACAGTACCATGTTGGTGCATACCTGTAAGCCAGGCCCAGTCTGAGCTGTATAATGAGTTCCAGGCCAGCTGGGCATGTGCAGTGAGACCCCCCACCTCAACAACAACAATAAAACCCTAATAATGTAGCTGGTAGAATATATTTGCCCTAATGTGAGTTTATATTTAATAATAACCTTTCCTGCTGGGCTGGCTTTGAACTGTGATCCTCAGATCTCAGCCTCCTGAGCAGCTAGGATTACAGGTGTGAGCCATTGACTCCCAACTTTAATAATAACTTTTAAAACATAGTTTTCATCAGTTTACTCAGAAAGCACTAAGCCCATTGTAGATTATCTATCTTCATGGTCTTTATAATGTTGATGGTTTGGGTGGATGGGAACACTGAGAAGTCAGATATAGAAGAGATGTTTTAAGATACCTGCTATTTGCTCTCCTGTTTTTTCTACTCATCTAGTGCCTCTTCAAATCTAAATTTAGTGAATATAGATACAAGTCACGGTTGGTCAGTAGTGAAATGATCCTAAGAGGTATATAATTCAGGTCTAGTTAGTTTCATGTTGCGATTATCTTGGTCAGTTGTGTGTGTAGAGACATGAACTATGTGGCATGGAGTCCCAGAATGTCTTGGGCCTACTGCTGACCATAATAGTACACCTCTAGCTTAACACCATAACCACCCCATCTCCTTGAGCCTTCATAGAGACTAAATCAAAACCAATCCTGGAGGACAGGCAGATGTTCTGCCTCAAGCCTTTCTGTTCCCACAACACCTGGATGTGTAAAGAGTGGTATGAGCTGGGAAGGTGGCTCAGTGGTAGAGTGCTTGCCTCGCATGCATGAGGCCCTGGGTTTGATTCCTCAGCACCACATAAGCAGAAAAAGCCAGAAGTGGGGCTGTGGCTCAAGTGGTATAGCACTAGCCTTGAGCTGAAGAGCTCAGGGACAGCACCCAGACCCAGAGTTCAGGCCCCACGACGACAAAAAAAAAAAACAAACCCAAAAACTGGTATGCTTCAGAAATTTTCATTTGACTCTTTGTTCCCCCCCCTCCCTCTCCTTCTTCTTCTTCCTTTTCCTCTCCCTCTTCATCTCCCTCTCTATCTCCCTCTCCCTCTCCCTCCCTCTCCTCTCCTTCTCCTCCTTCTCCTTCTCTTCCTTCTCCTCCTTCTCTCCCTCTCCCTTTCTTGCCGTTTCTTCCCCTCCCCTCTCCTCTTCTCTCCTCTCTCCTTCCTTCCCTCTTTCCTTCCCCCCTTCCCCCTTCCTTTCCCTTCCCTATACACGATTTAATTCAGAATTAGAAAATGTAAAATTAGTTTGGCATATACCTTATAAATTAGGCTCACTTTAATCAGAGGAATTGTTTAAAACCACTATAAACTCTAGTTTCTCTGCTTCCCTTTATTTTTTATTCTTACTTTTATTTTGATACTTCTTGTCAGTTGTAGGGCTTGAACTTGGGGCCTAGGTACTGTCCCTGACCTCTTTTGCTCAAGACTAGCTCTCTGCCACTTCGAGCCACAGAGCCACAACACCACTTCCAGTTTTGAGTTCACTGGAGATAAGAGTCTCCTGGGCTTTTCTGCCTGGGCTGACTTCAAACTGCTATCCTCAGATATCAACCTCCTAAGTAGCTAGGATTATAGGCATAAGCCACTGGCACCCAGCTTCTGCTTCCCTTTATTATTTTTTGTACTTTTTTATTGTAAGAATACTGTACAGAGGGGCTACAGTAAGGTAATGAGTACATTTCCTATCGAGCTTCCCTTTATTATAACTGGATTGTTGGTTGAAAAAAGTCTGTGGTTGTGAGTTTGTCGTAAATATGAGAGTAAAAAGACAATAATTGGATATATGCTTATGTAACAGTATATGCAAATAAATGTTGCATTGAAAAGGCAATAGAGGGCTGCCCGTGGTGGCACTCACCTGTAATTTAGCTCCTTGGGAGGTAGATATTGATATGATATGATAGATATGATCAAGCTTCCAGGTCAGCCTAGACAGAAAGTTTGTAAAACCTAATCTCAGCCACAAAGGCTGGGGTAGTGATGTGCACCTGGTCATCCCAGCTACACCAAGAAGTGTAAATAGGAGTATCCCTGTTCAGGCTGGCCAGAGCAAAAATGAGACCTCCCATCTCAAAAATAACCAGAGCAGAAAGGGATGGGGGGACATGGTTCAAGTGATAGAGCACCTGCCTAGCAAACACAAAGTCCTGAGTTCTACCCCCAGTATCAGAGGATGAGGAACCAAAAAGATATATACAGTAATATTAAGGATATATTTTGAGTCAAGGTTAGCATTATTAATTTGGGAAGGGCTTGAATTAAGGAATTCTCATTTGTTGTAAGGCACGTAGTCTACCATTTGAGCCATGCCCCCAGTTCTTTCAATGTGGAGTTATTTATAGTCTGTTTTCAATACATACTTCCTGATATATACAAGTGGGAAAACACAGGTATTGAATTTTTTAATCAGTATTGAAGGAAACTCATAGTCTTCCGTATGCCGAGGTAATAATTTTTCTCTTTTTCTTCCAAAAACCAGAATCCTAGTAAGGAATGTGAGCCTTATCGAAGAAATGAAGACAAACCCATTGCTCCTTGTGGAGCTATTGCCAACAGCATGTTTAATGGTATGTTACAGATAACAATACAAATAAACATCATTATAACAATTTGAATAATCTTAGTACAGATTTGATGGTTTAGTATATAGGAATGAAATTGAGAAATTCATCTTCAAGATGACTACCGGGTTAGGTATTAAAGGAGGTTTGTAATGCGTTATGACTTCCTTTTGAGCATTCTCATCTTTAGAATAGATTTCTGTCTCTTAGTAGATGAAGCAGAGGAACTTTACTTCTTATTTCATAAAAGAGAATAGCAGCCAACCTGCCCTCCTCACTGACTTTGATTATTTATGCCATTAAAAGGGAATTGTAATTGATCATTTAGAGTAGCATTGCCTGGTAGAAATATAACATAACTATAAATGAGAGCCATATAGATAATTTAAATGTTTCCAATAGTCAAAAGAAACAAATGAAATAAACTTAGTATTTTCTTTAACCCAATGTACCTAAAAGATCCTTTCGGCAAATTATGTAAAATACATATATATTATATATAAATATATGTAAACATAAATATAATACTAAAATACCATATACATACATATATTATTAAATCATATTAACTCCCAAATTCTGATGTGGTCCATACACTTACAAAACATACTTCTTTATACTAAATATACTTCAAGCCGCAGTAGCCATGTGAACCTATTGTTTATATGTGCTGAAAGGGAAATGGATAAGCAGCCATGAGTTCTTAGCAGTATTTTTTCTTTTTTGTTTTGGTCGGTTGTGGGGCTTGAAGTCAGGGCTAGGATGTTGTCCCTGAGCACTTTTCTGGCTAGCTTCTAACTGTGATCCTCAGATCTTAGCCTGAGTAACTAGGGTTACAGGTGTGAGCCACCTGCTCCTGGCTTCTTGTCAATGTTTTAAAAGGAATAAAAGAGTTGATTTACTTTGAAATTTTATTTAGGTTAATATTAAAACACTTAATCACATTTCTGTGACTTAGATCTGTAATGAAGGGGAAGCCCATGTAGAATAATAAAGGGGCCATAGTGAATTCACATCTAAATGAAGAGCAGATGTGAGCCATACACTTATGTGACTTCTGTTTTTAGGAGCGATATCAGAATCTCATTTCATGTAGAATAAAGCAGGCACTGTGGATCTTTAGTGGATATTAGTCATATTTTCCTTTTCTTCTATTTAGATACGTTAGAATTGTTTCTGCTTGCCAATGAATCTGACCCTGTACCTACACTTATTCCTTTGAAAAAGAAAGGTATTGCTTGGTGGACAGATAAAAATGTGAAATTCAGAAATCCTCCTGGATCAGGAAGCCTGGAAGAACGATTTAAAGGTAAAATATTAATATTCCATTAAAAAGAAAAGTAGGAGTTTTAATGAAGTAGGTTAAATTTTCCCTCTTTATAGAGTTTTAGACAAATTTAAAATTTCTAAACAGCAACATTTTTTTTCTTGACTTCATACCAAGTGAGTTAAATGTTTTAATGTACTTAAAATTCTAAAGGAATTGTTTGCTTTAAATCATGAGTCCAGTTTATATGGTATTTTAGGCTGTCAGCTCTAACTTTTTTTTATTTTGTCAATCCTAGGGCATGAACTCAGGGCCTGGGCACTGTCTCTGAGCTTTTTTTGCTCACAGCTAGCACTCTACCGCTTAAGCCACAGCACCACTTTTGGCTTTTTCTGTGTATGTCGTACTGAGGAATGGAACTCAGGGCTTCATGCCTGCTAGGCAATCACTCTACCACTAAGACACATTCCCATGCCCCTCGGTTATCATCTGTTAAAAACTAGCAAAATTGGGGCTGGGAAGGTTGCTTAGTGGAAGAGCGCTTGCCTTGCATGCCTGAGGGTTGGATTCCTCAGCACCACATAAGCAAAAAGAAAAAACCGGAAGTGGCGCTGTGGCTTAAGTGGTAGAGCGCTAGCCTTGAGCTGAAGAGCTGAGGAACAGTGCCCAGGCCCAGAGTTCAGGCCCCAGGACCGGACCAAAAAAAAAAAAAGAAACTAGCAAAATTTCTTTATATAAGCCCCCTAGTTTCAATCTAAATTTATTTTTATGTTACCTTCATTCACAATGTAGTATTTCTTAACATATTTTTTTCATTAATCTGCCTTTTCATATATATATATATATATATATATTCTCCTTGTTGTATTCTCTTTATTGGGATATCATCCAAATCTTTAATTTTTTTGTTCAGTTCTTATAGGAAGAATAGCTTTTAAAATTTCCTCAGAATATAAATTTTTTATAGTTTTAAAATTAAGTAATCAGATTTAGTATTGTGCATTTTAATTTTAATAGAGTAAGTTTTTATTGACTCTCTTAATATTTTGTTTCCTCGTTCCTTCATCCACTCTTTAAGGGACAACAAAGCCAGTAAACTGGCTTAAACCAGTATACATGCTAGATTCTGGTGAAGATAATAATGGATTCATAAATGAGGATTTTATGGTTTGGATGCGTACTGCAGCATTACCTACTTTTCGTAAGCTATATCGTCTTATAGAACGGAGAAACGATTTACATCCAACATTGCCAGCTGGACGATACTATTTGAATATCACATACAGTATCCTTTTTTGGTTATGTATTCAAAATCATAGAGTTTGAAAGGAGTTTATGCAGCCATATCTCAGTTATGTGGCTTGTTACTATGTGCTTTAGTTTGAATTTTTATGAGTATATGTATGTACAAGAATATTCCTAATTTGTATCTTATAGAAATGTCTTGAATTTTTTAATGTTTTGTAGTATTTTCAAGCATATCATTTGGTAAAATTACTTAAAATATAGATACTTGTTTTACTTTGATTGAGTTTAAAACAACAGGCAGTGAATATATCATATACTAAGTAGACATTAGGAACATTGAGTTGTTTGAATAGATTTTTGGAAGGCTATTAAACATCAGCACATATGCTTATTCACATAAAAATAGGTAATAATTACTGATCTGTTCATAATATAAAGACAGTTTTATTACTACAGGTATTTGTTTGTTTATATGGTGCTGGGTATCAGACCCAGGTCCTTGAATGTGGTAAACATGCACTATCCCCAGCCTCTTACCTGTATTTTTGTACCTTAATAAAACTTAGGTTCACTTTCAGTACTGATAAGAACATATTTCATTCTTACGGTATGTTAATAGTATACTAAGCATTATTTTATTTGATTCAAGCAGTAATATGAGGTAGATATCCTTCCATAGAGACAAGAATATAGGAGCCTAGAGTAATTAAGTAGCTGGCTGGGTTATACAGGTAGTAATTAGAAGAATTAGAGGGCATGGCTAGGGCACTGACCACCGCCATAGTCTGTATGCCTATCTAGTTCACTTAGCTAGTCAGTCAGATCAATCCATGTATACATAGATAACAGTTTTGTTTTTTTTTTGGGGGGGAGGGGGAGAAATATTGAGCAGCTCCCTTTATGCTAAACAAGGTCCTTACATTTTAAATTTTTTTAATTTAATTTTATTTTATTTGTGAACATACTGTACAGAGGGGTTACAATTACATGGGCAGGATAATGCGTACATTTCTTACCAAGCATTGCAGCCTCCTCATTTGTTTACCCTTCACATCCCTTCCCAGCCCCCCCCTCCCCCCCACATTTTAAATTTTTTATCCTATCATTAAATTTACTGTAATGATTTCTAAATTTCCTTCTTTCCTTCCTTCCTTCCTTCCTTCCTTCCTTCCTTCCTTCCTTCCTTCCTTCCTTCCTTCCCTCCCTCCCTCCCCTTGTTTATTTTTTGTGCTGGAACTGAGGCTTGAGCTCAGGGACTGGTGCTTTCACTTAGATTTTTTTGCTCATGTATGGAGTACTTGTGCCACACCTCCAATTCTGCCTTTTTGCTGATTAATTGAAGATAAGAGTCTCTCAGATTTGTCTCTCTTGTCTGGCTCTGCAATTTGATTCTCAGCTCTCCAGCCTCCTGAGTAGCTAGAATTATAGGCGCATGACTTACCAGTGCCTGGCTCAGATTTTAATAATTTAAATGTTTGCTGATATTCAAATTGTTTATTTTCATAGACTTTTAATGAGCTATAAAATTTTGTAGTGGATTGGTAAATGCTAAGTTAATAGGCCAACTTCAAATAAGGATTATTTTTGGATCCTAGATTCTTAATGTTGCACATAGGAACACACAGGCTCAATTCAGACCCTGATAGAAAGAACATAATCCTGAGGGAATAGCCAAAATAGAGGACAGCTGTAACACAATTAGCTAGATCTAGATGTAATACCAAAGTATAGCCTAATACACAGCATAGTAAGGGAAGCTCTTAATTAGAAGATAGTGTACATTCAGGAAGTCTGTAGCTGAGTCCCAAGTACTAGGAGAACTGTCAAGAAAAAGATATCTCAGCCGGGCGCTGGTGGCTCACGCCTGTAATTCTAGCTGCTCATGAGGCTGAAATCTGAGGATCGAAGTTAAAGCCAGCCTGACTTTTATCTCCAATGAACCACCAGAAAACCAGAGGTGGTGCTATGGCTCAAGTGGTAGAGTGCTAGCCTTGAGCTGAAGAGCTCAGGGACAGTGCCTAGGCCCAGAGTTCAAGCCCCATGACCTACCAAAAAAAAAAAAAGGAAGAAAATGATGTCTAAGACATTGACAGGATACATTATGGGTCTCTAGGCCATCAAGATTTATTAAAATAGGGGTTGTAAGGTAGAAACTACTAGATTCTAACCCATCTTTTTAGGTTTGGGAGACAGAGATTAATATAGGTGTAAATGGTTATGTTAATGGAATGTTAATGTTGTATTAGAGCTCCTGCTTTGTGACCCTGTGCTCAGAGCCCTCTCAGTCTCTTAAGGACACTTTTTTTTTTAGAAGTTATTTTTGGTTATACTAGGGTTTGGACCCAGTGGTTCTCTAATCACTGTGCCATTCTCTAACCCTTTTTGCCCTGGCTGTTGTTTTTCAATTAGCCTCTTGCTTCTTGCCTGGGTATGTGCCCTGGTGTGATCCTCTTATTTATGTTTCAGCAGGTACATGTCTCCATGCCGTTTCTTCCACTGACATATAATTGCTTGACCTCTGTTGATGCTTGTCTGGAACTGAGGTCTTTCCAACATTACCCTCTCACCTAGCCAAGAGGACGAGTGTGTACCAGTGCGACCAGCCGTTGGTTGAGAAGGGGGTCTTACATATATGCCTAGCCTGGCCTTTAACCGTGATCCAGTCTCAGCCTCTCAGACAGCTAAGATTACAGGGATAAGTCACCAGAGCCCAGCTCATGACTATACTCTCCCACATGTTCCTTGAGTTTACAGAGACTGCCAGTTTCTTGATTCTTCCTTTCCTTCCTCCCGACCTTCCACCTCCCCCTCCAAGCCTGTCATTCTGTCCATTTGGGCTTTACTGCTGGTTATTTGAAGTTTTTTTTTTTTTTCATGTTACATGACTGTGAAGCCTTTAACTTCTGTTTAATGAAGGCAAAACTGCTGGGCACCGGTGGCTCACGCCTGTAATCCTAGCTACTCAGGAGGCTGAGATCTGAGGATTGAGGTTCAAAGCCAGCCGGGGCAGGAAAGTCTGTGAAACTCTTATCTCCAATAAATCACCAGAAAACCAGAAGTAGCGCTGTAGCTTAAGTGGTAGAGCACTTGCCTTGAGCTGAAGAGCTGAGGGACAGTATTCAGGCCCAGAGTTCAAGCCCCATGACTGACAAAAAAAAAGGCAAAACCAACCGAGGAACTTTATAAACCTTAATTTGATTGTTTTGGCTTTTACTGCTTTAAAATTAAACTAATGTAATTTGCTAGATTGGGGCTGGGACATTTAAGAGCTCAGAGCTAAAGTGTTGCCTTGCATGTATAAGGCCTGGGTTTGATCTCCAAGGCTGTAAAACAAAAACAAAGGCAGAACAACAGCAACAACAACAAATGGTAATTTGTTAAATTAGCCCTTAAGATAATAGTATAATTTTTTAATGATTTGGAACTTAATGAGCATATATTATCGAATTATACAAATGTATGTTTTATGCATGAAATAATTAGAGATGGAAACATTTTCCTATACCCTCTTCAGATTACCCTGTCCATTCTTTTGATGGTCGAAAACGGATGATCTTGACCACTATTTCATGGATGGGAGGAAAAAATCCATTTTTGGGGATTGCTTACATCACTGTTGGATCCATCTCTTTCCTTCTGGGAGTTGTACTGCTAGTAATTAATCATAAATACAGAAACAGTAGTAATACTGCTGACATTACCATATAATTTTATATTCTGAAAACAGATGTATTGCATGTGCGTGAGGCCAGTCCTGTTCAACCTAGCTTTTGAATGCTGATGTCTGGTTAGTATGTCATTTTGAAGTTGGCACATAAGTTTTCTTTTTTAAAAGAAAATCTTTGTCCTTTGCTTCTTACCTAGAATGACTTAACAAAATATTGGACGGGTATTATAAAAATTAGCTATATTGATCATATCAACACTGTAACTGCTTACATAGCATTCTGGTGTTTGCCTTTTATTGGGACCAGCCACATGATGCATAGAGCCTCTTTCAAGTGAAATGCGTCTACTGCTTAAATGTTTATGCTGTGTTAATAATATTATATTGACATATGATGTGTATATGTGTGCCCAGTGTGTGAAGAGAAAGGATTACAAGATGTATGAGTGTCATGACTTGATAACCTTTCACGATTCAGAATTAGGAAACGATGAAGACAGACCAAATCTAAATAAAACACTTCACCATTTTCTTGTGTCTTGTGTGAAGGCTTAAAGTGCCACCTTTGTATTCAAAGATGGTATCAGTCTATTCAATTTATCCATTACGTACAGGTTATTTTGTTGTTGTTGTTAAGCTTAGCTTTGAATTCAAAGGACATGCTTGCCTCATATGGCCTAGAAATGAATGTTTATGTCTAGGGAGATGGAAAAGGTCTTGAATAGAAGAACTTCATATGTGGCTGTCGGGAATCCCAACTCACTTGAAATGTTTTTATACCCAGTCCTTTCCCTTGAGGCTTTACACATTGTAAGGGAAGACAAGAACATAGGTGAGGTGGGTATTGCTTGACAGAGTATCCTCTTCCCTCTCAACTGTAAACCCACATAAATGCTCAATGGCGTCCCATTCTTGTGTATTTAACATTAAGAAAATCACGTCCGCATTGGAAATACCTCAAGCTGTGCTTAACTGGCAGGTAAGTGTTTTTGGCTTAAGTACTAATAGTGTACACATTTTTGGAATTTTAATTTCCTCTCTATTCAATTTTGGCATACAGGTCAAATGTGGATATGTATACATATTTTCTTTAGTTAAGATTGTAATTGTTTTGGTTAGTTTTCCTAAGATGTACTTTAAACAGATGTTCTAGAAATTTCCTACAAATTGTAGGGATTTGGATTATGTACATGATAAATTATGAAGTTATTTTCTACTAACTGGAATTATTTTAATATCCTTTATTGAATAAATGCTGTAATTTGTTTGCTATGGAACTTAATTCTTGAAGTGAATGTAAAATATTTTTCCATATGCATGAAAATGTGTGAATCAGATGACTTACTGAAATTTCTTTTTTATATACCTAAAGTAACTCATGTTTATGCAGGATTTGTAATGATTTCCTTCAGTTATATTTTCAATCAGAAGGTCTGGGTAATGTATCAATTTTGAATAATATCTGCTTTAAAAAATGATATAGTTCATAGTAGAAATGTGCCACAATTGTTCAGTTTTGTATAACACGGAATTCAGTGAAAAGAACTTGTAATCCGTAGTAACTTTTAACTTCAGGAAATACTGTTGCATGAGTTCCTTGATGTATGGTTACTCTCCACTTTGTGAGTACATAGACTGTTCCTTACCTACAAGTAGTCTTTTTTTTTTCATCTAAGAAGTAGTCTTTTCAGCATGCTTCTTGTTGTTGTTGTTTTTCTGTTTTTCTTTTCCTGAAATATGTCTCTTGCACATACCAGTTTTATTTTCTGGAACAGTTCATGAACGGAGAGAGGTTTTTTCCAAGCTTTCCAGAGAGGGACTATTATTCTCCACCTCTTTTCTAACCAAAGGAGCAAAGATTCTGTTGAGGAAGAGTGAAAGCACTCTTCCCACACTTTCACATCTGTGGAGATCGTGGACTCTTAACACAGGGCAGGAGTGTGGTCTGTTTGCCAGGACATGGGTGGCCTGTGTCCTCACCTGCCTCCTGTCGTTTGAGCACCAAGGGATGGCTGTGGAAGAAAGTGGTCTCATATGGTCTCTGGGAAGCATGGGAAAAAAGGAAGACATTTATTGCTGATTATTTTTGTTTTGGAAACATTGATGTCATATTTGTGTATCACAGTCTTACATTTTAACCGAGGTTAAGTAGAGAGCTGGAGAGAAATGTATCGTTTGTCAGGAAATATTTTGACATGAAATGTCTCTCAATTGAAGGAATTATTCAATAAGTAAAAGCTAAGACATTTTATTGATATTATAAGGCAGTTGGAAAATAAACTGGAAAAATAACTGTACTACCTAATAATCATTTAAGAAGAGTCAAGTAATACGTTTATAGAATAGTAAAGTTAACATCCTGCTAGTATGTTCTGCACTAATAAAAATGAACAAAATTAATTTTGCTATACTCAAGTCTCAATGTTGTTCCTAATGAGTAGTACTCAGTTTTAAACTGTCAGTGAGTATAAGTTTTAATTTATGCTTTGATTTGGTAAAAATGTCATTTATTTAAAAATTAATTGTTACATCTATATTAGTCTCTGACATGGCAAGACTTATAATACTAAGGAGCATCTGTTATTATCAGGGAGTGGCCAGATTGTTACCTGAAGATAGATAGACTGGCTAAGGCTAGCTACATTTGGTATTATGGGAAGGGGAATGTAAGCTGAAAGAGAGCCATGAATGGGGAAATCAATGAATGAGACAGGAAGTGAAAAGCCAGACTGGTGAGGGGAGCAGCCCACTACCTTGCTCCTCGGATAGACACTGCCTCAGAGATCCTGTGGCACTTCTTTGTTGTTTACCTTGTAAAGTTTTGCTCTTTGAGGACATGGCAAGCTTGAAGGGGGTGGGGGGGTGGGGCTGAAGAAGTGCTGCTGTTACTAGCTGTGTGATGAAGCTTGGGTGGTCTGGTGAAGTGTTTTAGGAACCATCCAGTAAACCTAAAAGAATCACATTTCTCCTAATGTCATTTGAAATTTCCAAATAAATATATTGTCTAAAAACAAATCAGACCATGGTGATGTTATTTGCTTTTTTTGGGGTATCATTTGTTTTTATATATCTATTAAATTCATCAAAATAACATGTGACACAATTTCAAGTATCAGTAAGTTCTAAATGCTTCTTGGTGAAAGGGAGTTGTCCCTGCCCGAACCTTCCTTTCCTCCTCAGAGATAATCACCTTGACTCTGAAAGTTTTTCTCTGTTGCCAGGCACTGGTAGCTCACATCTATAATCCTTGCTAGTCAGGAGGCTGAGATCTGAGGATCATGGTTTGAAGTCCACCTGCACAGAAAAGTCCATGAGACTTTAAAAACTCCAATTAACCACCAAAAAAAACCCCAAAAAACCTGGAAGTGGAGATGAGGCTCAAGTGGAAGAGCCCTAGCCTTGAGCAAAAATGCTCAGGCCCTGAGTTCAAACCCCAGGACTAGCACCAAAAAAAAAAAAAGAAAAAGTTTCCATTATCTCAGACAGTTTATTTGATTTTAAGTTTTAGGCATACTTTGAAGTTACATATCTTACCTTCTGTTATATAGTTACATCTTAATATTTAGTAAGAACACCAGCTGTTGTTTAAGAAAGAATAAAGAGCAAAGTGTGGTGTACCATGATTACAGTTCTCGTTTTTTGTTGTTGGTTGTGGTGCTTGAACTCTGGGCCTGGGCACTATCCCTCAGCTCTTCTGCTCAAGGCTAGCGCTCTACCACTTGAGCCAAAGCACTACTTCCAGCTTTCTAGTGGTTTATTGGAGATAAGTCTCACAGACTTTCCTGCCTGGGCTGGCTTTGGACTGTGATCCTCAGATCTCAGCCTCCTGAGTAGCTAGGATTACAGGCGTGAGCCACTGGCCCCCAGCTACAGTTCTCTTTTATAGTACTTTTTTCTGCAGTTAGTCACCTCACTTTGAATCTGCATTAAGACTTCAACATCTCTGTCAGGTCCACTATGTTCTTATCACTAGTTTTGAAACATTTTTGTACCCAGACAATGTCTCCAATTTTACTGGCAGGTCTGCTCTGCAGTCTGCACTGGCTGTTCTCAGTCTGCTGCACCTCTCTTCTCCCGGTGACTCCCTCTGTCATCCACCCTGGGTGTCTCCTGCTCCCCAGCTTACTCTTGTTTACTGAATGTCTCCGTAAAACATGAACCTTAGAAACAGCATATTAAAGATAACATTTCTCAGTTAACATCTAAAATATCTACCTCCTCCCACCCTGCTGACCTAGAACCCACTCTTGTACCTGAGACAGGTCTCAAACTCAGGATCCTCCGACCTCAGCCTCCCAAACGCTGGGATTACAAGCATACACCACCATGCCTAGTTTAAAATGCCCCCTAACACTCACATTATTTTAAGGATTGACTACACATCATAATTTTAAAGTAAAGGTCTTTTTCTTCAACTACTTTGAAGACACTGCTCTACCCTTCTAGCTTCTCTTATTGCTTGTGAGTAATCTGATCTTAGACTGTTGCTTCTCTTAGGTTGCGACTTAGTTTTCTGTTTTTCCTCTTTAGATGCCATTATCTTCTCTAGAGTTCAACTTTGTCTTTTAATACTTCTTTCTGTCTGTTGAATTGGTAACATGCTATGAAAATTTAGTTTCTAAGATGTATTTCATTTTTTCTAAAATATCCTCTTATTAGGGTCCCTATGAATGATTTATTTTTCTGAGAATATATATGAGTGCAAAGGCATCATTGCTTTCGTTTCCTACCTTGTGTTAAGGTCAGGATTTTGTTGTTCTTTTTTTCTTTGTCTATGGTCTATTGTGGGGCTTGAACTCTGGGCCTGGGCGCTGTCCCTCAGCTCTTCAGCTCAAGGCAAGCACTCTACCACTTGAGCCACAGCGCCACTTCTGGTTTTCTGATGGTTATTGGAGATAAAAGTCTCATGGACTTTCCTGCCCGGGCTGGCTTTGAACTACAATCCTCAGATCTCAGCCTCCCAAGTAGCTAGGATGACAGGTTTGAGCCACCAGCACCTGGCTCTTTTTTGCTTTTGTTCATATAGATGGCTTCCTTCATATTTCTGTTGTATGTTAGACCCCAGAACACTATTTGAATGCTTCACTTTTATCAACACTGCTTAAAAATAATGGGTTTCATTGGCACTGCAAATTAAGCTGTGCATATTAAAAAGCTTAGCACAGTAATGAATTCATAGGTAAAACACATTTTAAGAAGCACTGCCTGAGAGAGGTAGGGACCCAGTGCTCTAACACAGGAGCCTTTTCTTTGGGATTGTTTCTCTTGTCCTGCATGAGGAACGGGGTGGAATTGGGTCTCGTTTTCTTGGAATTGTACAAAGTGGCGTCAGTTCAACAGGTGTTTTCTTACCGTTTTTTGAGCTAGTGGGGATTGAACCAGGGCCTCATGTTTGACAAGGGCTCTACCTCTTGAGCCATGCTCCCAGATAGGATGACAGGCATGTAATACCATGCCTGACCTTTCTTTTTTTTAATTTAATTTTATTTGTGAACATACTACAGAGGGGTTACAATTACATGGGCAGGATAATGCATACATTTCTTACCAAGCATTGCAGCCTCCTTTGTGTACCCTTCACCTCCCTTCCCAGCCTCCCCCCCTCCCCCTGCCTGACCTTTCTAACTTGGGTTAACTCTGCTTGTGTTCTTGTTCTCCACCTCCCTTGATTTGTGCTTGGCAAATATTTTCTTGTAAACTAGTTATCTATTCCATATAAACATTGTCTTCTCTTACAGTGGGAAACAGTTGGATGTGAGATTTATTTTGTGGCTGAGAAGAGAGGCAGAAGTCCTAGAGATTTCAACTTTGTGTTTTTTCAGGCTTGCCACCCCCTCCGCTGTTGACTCCAACACTGACCTCTGAACCCGAGTTGTCAATTATTGACATGTTTCTTTCTCATGGGTATTCCTCTTACAGTCCTTCAATTTTTATGTATTTAGTAGGCAGTACTGAGTTTTTAATTCAAGGCCTTTTCCTTGCTAGACAGGTGTTCTACCACTCTAAGCTAGTCCTCCAGCCCCCTTTTGAGTTGGTTATTTTTTAGATCAGGAGTGGGGAACTATTTTTTCTGCCACTTGGGCCACTTGGGTATTTTAACAGCTTTCACAGGCTATGCAAAATGATAGTACAGGCAGACATTTGTGTGCAGCCAATGAGATGTATACAAATACATGTCTGTCCTATTATGTGATTTTACAGACTCGGGCCTGTGGCCAGATGTTTCCCACTCCTGCTGTCCATCTCAGCCACTACATCTGCTTTTTGTCTTT